ACTGTCTGCGTTAACAAAGGTTCTGGGCAGCGTCTGGGAATCAGAGCAAGTCTCGTCGGGTTGGTGTAATTCATTGATTATCTCCATATACAAGAAGGGAGACAAGTCTTCCTGTGATAATCACAGGTAGATTAGCCTGACTAATATGACAGCTAAAGTTGTAGGCTAAATAATAATGTGCTCTGGAGGCACAAACACAAGAGAAACAGACAGGCTTTAGATCAGAGTGAGGTTGTATACATCATATATATTAACCCTTCGACAAATTCTGGAACATAAGCATACTTACCGGCGTCCAGTAATCGTTATATTTCTTGATCTAAGGGCGGCATTCGATTCTGTCAACCCAGAGTTACTCTGGCGATGCTTAGCTGCAAAAGGGAATGCCAAGAAAATACACTGCACTGATCAGGGCACTCTATTCGAACTCATGCAGCCAGCCAGACAGGTCAGAGCCTACGGAAAATTATCATCTGAAGGGGTGACGACCACCGTAGTGGTGTCTATCATGGATGCCCACTATCCCCATTTCTATTCAATTTCATTATAGATGTACTAACGGAATTAACCCTAGCTGCTGACTTCAGTGACTCAGGGATTGACTTGTTACTATCAGAGAATAATTTCGTTTACTTAGAATATGCAGATGATATGGTCTTTCAAGGTGTAGTGTTGTTCTTACTACAACATGGCTTCATAAGTCAATGAAATCCACAACAGTTAGTTTAAGCCAGCCAGTCAGCTACGTAGGCGGGTGTGAACTTCCTGGTTGGGGTTCTCGAGACGGTAAAAAGCAATAGCTGGAGAAAATCGGTGATATGGCTCAAAATTATCGTTCTCCATGGCTGGCACAGGTGTATTCAGTCCTTGTGTTTTATAATACCCAATGAAACTACATTGTCCTTCCATATTACTATTGCTTTTAACTCACATTTCTGTCTATCACCTCTCTTTCTCTCTCTCTTGAATCACTGTTTACTCTCTACTGTGCTTTGTGTGCTACATGGAGTTTGGCGACTTGAACTGCTGCGCATCAGTGGAAAGTTCTATGTTGGAACCAGTCAGTCAGTATGGCATTCACAGCGTCAAAGTCACTGAGGGTATAACTCAACCCCTTGTCGTCTTACAGTTCATAAACTCTTGCATCCTACCTATTCTTCTTTATTTTTCACCCTTTTTTTTCCTGGCTTGCTTAAAAAGGACTATGTCACAATTCGTCGAATGTTGAAGATGGTCACTAGGGTGAGTGGTGTCCCAGTGGACCACATAGTTAATGTTGTTATCGATAGGGACTTGACTTCGTGGAATAAATGTGATAAAGCGATTTTGCCTGACTTGGAGCATCCACTTTACCCTCAGCTTTCACCTCGCATCTCCTCAGGTAGAACAAGAAGTAACTTCAAAAAACTGTATGCTCGCACGTCTAAGTATAGAAATTCTATGATACCATACTTGGCACGTATTTTATGTGATGAAAATAGTGTCAGGCGACAATTAACTAACCTTTTTCATCTAGTAAATAAACAATTTCCTCCATCCATCCTTATATACCTTCAAGTTTTACTTTTATTACTTCTATTATATTTATGGTCTTGTTACTTCTTTGTTTTACTCTCATAATTGCAAACACCAATTTGTCTCTATGACTGCTGTAATCTTTGTTTTTCCCCTCACCATCACCATCATGTAAAGAGAAGATTATATTCAATATTTTTAAACATGCTAGGATTTCTATACCGCATATAACGACAATACTGTGTGAAACAAGCCCACGGCAATTTTTACTTGTATTATTATTATTATTACCTTAGCTGTTATCACAATTATTATTATTTCCATTTTATATGCTGCATGTTTGTGACATTAACCCTATTGTAAATGTGGAAGATTTTCTGCGTGATTAATTTTTATTTATAATTTGGGGATATTAGATGCAATATTGTGATTAATGCTGAAAATTCCATTCTGTATCACTAGTACTGTTTTTGGAATAAAGTAAATCATTATTATTATTAAGTTAAAGAATCCTTCGGAGCAGCCTATTAAACAAAATAATCTACTTTTTGTAATAAAATAACCTGCAATGATTGTGAGGTCAAATACACAGATGAAAGTATTACTTCGGAGTCAGTTAGATTAATGGATTAGAAACACCAAACAACATCTAATCTAGTAAAGCTTAATAAGACGAAAAATCTGGAAAGAAGCTTGGTTATAGTTCTGTATGGAGTTGCACACTACCGTACAACAAAACGAGACACTATGACAGTCTTAAAACCTTATTTTTCAAAGTGATTATGTGATAGGCGAAAAAAAGATGAAGTAGTCAGAATAATGAAATAATTAAGACAACGATAATGACTAAAAGGCTTAGTGGGGTGTGCCGGGGAAACTGTCAGTGGATGTTTTTCTACATATATGTAATGCTGGTGAAGGTAAGGAAAGTGGGTGTGTGAATTTCTTCGGAACAGACAAGTGTGGCTTCTTTAAGTGGAGTCTGGTGTCCTGACTCGGCTGTTTGTATGACGAACTCATGGTGGATTGCATCATGAGTTGACATCAGTGAGAGAACCACTGGAAAACCTGGGAGTACTGGAAACCTGTTTCGTCCCAGTTTGGGACTCTTCGTCAGTACGCACCCACCGGGGTTCGAACCCAGGACTTTGGCTCAATGGTCTACGTCTTGTAACCAGAAGGTCCTGCATTCGAACCCGGGGTGTTGCGAATTGATGAAGAGTCCCAAACTGAGACGAAACAGCTGTCCAGTACTCCCAGCTGGTTTCCAAGTGGTTTTCTCACTGATATGAGCTCATGATGAAATCCTCCATGAAATCAAACAAAATCCCTACAAAACCAATACTTTTAAAATTAATATCCTTCAGAATGTCATACTCCTTATTTTGTCAAGATTATACATTGTCTAGTACACGTGTTGAATTTTGCGAATACAGTAATAACCTCTAACTATTTACATTAATTTTCTTGGTTGCCAGTCATCCCCGTGGCATGCTTATGTTGACTAATTTCCAAGAATTAGTTTGCAGGTATTTGATCTGTTTCATGTGTGACCACGGACTTAGCCATTGGGACCTGACTGAACGGCCCATGAATTCTAACATCTGCCAATTCGTGAATTTACCTTGACTTTCGGCCAATGTCGTCGGCGAGTATTTGTCTTCACTTCTGGAAAGATGTATCCAACTGGTCATGGCTTGCCACTAGAACTCTGGACAACTTCGCCCTGTAGGTGTTGGATGCGCACTAGTGAAGACTGCCAAACTAGGACGAAACAGTTATTCAATACCCCAGTACTGGTTTTCAGTAGTTCTCTAACTAAATTAGTTGGCTCTCCGTCTTGAAACTCATTTTCATTTTTTTTTCATTTTTCATTTACAGCTTGATTCCACACTGTATTTTTGGTACAAGTATGGAATTTTCAGCATGGATATCGGTAGCCCAAATTTTGCAGGCCGACCATAGATATCAGGTATGCGCCGGTGTGGGCTCGAACCTCGGACCATGTGCATGGTCGGCGAGAGTCCTAACCACTGTGCCACCGACGCACAGGTACTTACAAATAAAGTCTTGAAGATTGATCTTGGTGACTGACTCTAGGACAATTTTTTATGGATTTCTACAGACAAGTCGGGATAAGTGATATTCCCCTCGATGGAGAGTGACGGAAATACTCGCCGATGACACTGCCTGAGGGTCAAGCTAAAATCACGGATTGCCAGAAGTTATAATTCATCGCCCACTCACCTGAATTCCTATGGCTCAATGACCTAAGAGCTTACGTTGCAATCAGAATGCCCTCGGTTTGAATCCATGTGGTGGCGTGCTGATAAAGAATGCTAGACTAAGGGGAAACAGCTGTCCAGTGCTCTCTGGCTTTCAATGGTTCTGTAACGGATATTAATCCATGGTCAAACTCGTATAAATAGATTTAAAGACAAAAATTTTAACTAATGATGGTGATTTTGAGGACCAAATAATAATAATGGTGTGGTAAATGTTTTGAACTTTATTTATAAAGATGATTATACTGATAAAAAAATTGTGATAGTAAGGCTCATGCAGGTGGCGATAAGAATAACAAAGGTAGTATATGTATATATGTGTATATGTAGACAATTCATTAAATAAATTAGATCAAACCTTGAAAGTTACGTAATACTAAAGGTAGGTGAAGTGGACAGATAATCAGAGTTTAAGCAAATATCATAAAAGTACGAAGGATATGGAAAATAAGAAAGGCTGGGAGGGTTTTGATTAGAATTCACCTAGGCTAAGCAAGGGAGAGACAAATCGTAGAACAAACTTCTTTTGTTGTATGCAAAGACGACGAGGATTGTTCTCTCGAATTAATTCCCATAGATTTGGGCAAGTGTAAAAGTTAGGGGGATTAGAATTCTGCTAGAAAAGTTGGAAGGAATGTGTGATAGATAACTTTGAAGGGACTACTTCTTATAGATTTTATTTGACCTTTTCCTAACCATGATGGAAGATGCTCATTAATGCGTTTGTTAAGCTGTCCAGTTGCTCACTCTACATAGCTCTCTCCACAGGAGTAACTAAACTTGTAGATACACATAGAAGTGGCACAGCTAGGTATGTAGTTTGTCTTTTGCTTGAGCAATCGGAATTGGCTAGCGGCTGGAAAATGACAAACAACGGGTGGTGCTGGTATAAATCCGTTTTATTGCTCTCGATAATCTTAGATGTAAGACTTCACTAGCCACTTCTCCATTTATCATATTATTATTAGTATTATGTGATCCACAAACTCACCAATGATAGTGAGTAAATTAGAGGAAAGCCCGAAGAAGATATAATTGAAAGCAACAATACTGTTCGCTTATATGTCTTGTTCTAATATTAATAATAGTGGGAATATTTAAAGACCATGGATATTTTTATGTTTTATTTTTCAATTAGTTATTTTCAATATTTCATTATAATTTTTTGGTGTTTTCGTCTTCATATCAATTTCGAAACAGCATTTTAAAAGATTTGACTTCAGCGCATCGACAACTGACAATTATCATATTTGGTATTCTACATCAACTGGTCTTTAATGCTGCATTCAATACAGCTAGTCATTATCATGGTCCTTCACAACAACAGCAGCAGCAACAACAACTACATCAGCAACAGGAAACAGAGAAAGATACTGAAGAGCTACCAAAAATCCCACTGCTCAAGTTAGCTGAAGGTGTTGTGAAATCAGTAGCTGGTTCAATGTTTCATACGTGTACATCGTCAATTTTGCTAATTGATCAAACAACACAGGTTAGTTGGATGCTTACTTTCGTTTAACAGATTATTGTCATTATTATTATCATTATTATATCACTGTGCCTCGGTGGCACAGTGGTTAGGACTCTCACCGACCATGCACATGGTCCGGGGTTCTATCTCTTGCCGACGCATACCTGATATCAATGGCCGGCCTGAGAAATTTCGGCTACCGATATCACATGCTGAAACTTCCATACTTGTACCAAAAATACAGTGTGAAATGAAGCTGTAATCAAAAATTTAAAAAAAATTAATTAAAGCTTCCTTTGAAATACTTCCAGTTTCTTCTTATGAAGTTAGAATGTGATAACCGCTTTTTGGTGGTTTGAATGTTTGCTCGTCTGGATTTAAGGAATTTTGAGGTATATTACGAAGTGCCCCCGTTTACCAATGAAAATGAAAGAGTAATGCACAGGTGTCTCACCGGTACTTACTAGTGAATCTACCGGCCCTGCGAGGCCAGTTCATGATATAACATGAGATTCATCTTATCCAAATAAACCAAAAGTTGAAAATTGATATGTTGCTCATTCCTGAGTGGTTGCATAATGAAGTCATTTGAAGTTCTAGGGAGACATCAGGTGAAGTGATCATATATCAGTAAATGTCAGAGGTTAGTATATTTCATCCCAGTGGTTGGATGTTCAGCTGGCCTGCCTCTTAACTTTATTTTCTTGTATTCGATCCCTTATGAGGTTCACGGCTAAGTCTTATTGAAATCTTTGCCTAAGATGAAACAGCTATCGAGCAATTGGTGGTTTTTAATGGTTTTCTAACTAAAGTTAGTTTTTAGTCTAACTTTTTCGTATTGTTCTGTTCTGTGAGCTGGACTGTTCATTATTCGTCTTTAGAATATCTTCAGAAACAGCTTCACAGGGAAGTGAGTACTTGAATTTCTTCATAGGCGAAATATTTGTCTTTTCTGATTAACATGCCTTTGAAGTTACGTCGAATGAGATGGCTGGGTAATGTGGTATGTCTGCCGGCTTAGGCATAGCCCTCCTTGATGGACAATGTTAGCTGATGTAGGGTGGATCAGGTTGTAAAAGAGTTGTCTAGTGGCGGTCAAACCACAACTTGACCTCATTAGTCAATGAGATCCACGACAGGTAGTTTAAGCCAACCAGCCATATGAGGAGGCGTAGACTGGCTTCCAGGTTGCGGTCCTAGGGATGATGGAAACCAATGAAGGCTGGAGACAATTAGTGATAAAGTTCAAATTTGTTCTTCATAGCTGGCTCAGATGCATTCACTCCTTGTGACTTATAATACCAAACGAAACTGCATTATTCTTCCATATTACTATTCTTTTGCTTCACATTTCTCTTTATTGTGTTTCTCTCTCTTATTTAAATCTCTCTTTACCTAATCTCTACTCTTGCTTTCTGTGCTACATGAAGGGAGTTTGGCAACTGGAACTGGTGCACATCTGTGCAAAGTTCTACGTTAAAACCAGTCAGTCACCTTACCTATAGTTGGTTGTCTGACGAGACTTTTTTATCCTCTCATTCCCTTGTATTCATATTCAACCTTTTGAGCATCAACTGACTGCTACATAAGTCTGACATATGTACGTTGGTGGCACAGTGGTAGAATGCTCGCCGACCCAGCCTAATGTCGCTCAGGGTTCGATCCCCCGCTGACACACACCTTTACCTCTCTAATCCAGTAATCAGACTGGTAAAGTGGGAAGGTTGGGCTGAGCATGAGGTTAGCAACCTCATCCGGTAAAAATAAAAACACCGCTGCTACCGAAACTTCAAGCCTCTAGCTTGAAGTACTCGCTATGTTCCACTGGGAGCCTAAAGGAATAAAAAAAGTCTGATGTATGTCAAAATAATTGTTAATTGTAGACTGATCCTATTACAAAACTTTTATATTATATTTCTGGTTGACTAATTAACTACTCCGTTTAAAATTTGAACACTTTCCAGCCTTCTTATTGGTGCCTATAGTTGTTCTCAAGCATATCCGTTGCAATTTAGACACTGAATCACAATCCGATCGGTAAATATTTCCAGTTTAAGTGTCTTCGGGGTACAAAGCTGTTAAAACTTATTGTCATTGTTGAGTACTTGTACATGTAATCTAGCTAGTCCAAGATACTTCCTAGAACTGCATCATCGAGATGACAAAAAATTTCTCTATTCTGGAATGTACACTTATATTGGGTACATAGAGTTCTTAGTGTGTCAAATTTTCAGTGGCAGAATGATCACTGGAGGTCCAGCTTTGATTCCTGGCCAACCTACTCCTAAATTTCGCCTAATTTATAACCCAGTACCAAAAGGGGAAAGGAAAATGTTTGGGTTTCATGAAGATGACCCTATCCTGTGAAGTAACACTGATATTGAAACTTCAAAAGAAATGCTTGAAGTTCTATGTTCAACTTGAAAAGCAAGAAATGAAGGAAAACTAAGTTTTCAAATTAATTTACCGTAAAACATTTCCTCCCTGGAGCAGATGCTTCAAGTAGAATAATAATCGGTTGAATGTTACTTTAATGCATTATTGTTCTCTATAGAGGTCCCCATCTAGTCCTCCATTAGATTTATCTTTTTTCCCCTCAAAGTTCGCATAGTGGTAGGTTGAAAACCGCTGAAAAAAAACGTACATGAGTGTTTGGACTGCAACTCCAAAGCCTCAGGATGGTCGGGGGTGGGTGCCTTGCGCTGCGGGTTGGCCACCCCTCCGCACACCTCTTGAAATGCTCCCATATGACCGGGCGTCTTACATAGCCTCTCCTGAGGAAGTCCTACTCACTGCCTTCACGTGGCGGAGGTGTTTCTCACCAAAGTGAGAGGGCGAAAGCGGATGCCCGGCGCTCTCCACCGGGTTGACTGTCCATTGGATGACGGTCTAGGGGAGATGGCTAAACCCTGATTCCAAACCTCCAACGACTGGCGTATGAAGCTCACTGGAGCTCACCGGCAGACGTATGGACAAAGGGCTTGTTGGATGTCCTGGATGTCTGGCCCCATTCAAAAAGGCGTATGAACCGAACTCCGGTCACCGGCTGCCAATGGATAGTGGACTCCTTACTCCACTCCTACTGCCTTGTAGGTCACACTTGGCTGTGTAAAGGCTAGAGCTGCACTCTGAAACAAAAGGCCGAGCGATTCTGGGGACATCACTCGTACCAAATTCCCATGAAACTTCATGAACTCTCTTACAAATTGCCGCGCCTGGGCAGCGATGATTCGAGACGTTCATGAAGCCGGCTCATCCTCCCGTAGGAGACAGCCGAAGTAAAGTAAAGTAAAAAAAGTAAACATAATCACACAAATGAATCATCAAAATACTTTTAGGTGAATTGGAACCTATGCTTTATATTGGTTTTAATGTTAAATAATTTACAAGTGAACTGTAATTTGGAATTAACTTGCTAGTTGACTGACTGATTGACTTCGCACAGATGTGAAGCAGTTACACTTGCCACTTTCCCACGCACAAAGCACACAGTCCACGAGAAGACAGTCGAGAGAGGTTCAGAAGTGAGATAATAAACAGAAATATGAGGCAAAAAGAATAATAATATGGAAGAACAATAGAATTTTATTGAATATTATAAATCACAAAGAGCTAATACATCTGCTCCAACCGATGAGAACGCTTGTGAGCCATATCATCACCAATTGTCTCCAGCCTTCATTGGCTTTTACCATCCTGAGGATCTCTACTATGATATCTACACCTCACTATGTGACTGGTTGGCTTATACTGTCATGGATTTCATTGACTGGTACAATTAACTTGCTGGATTTTTGTGGGGTTTCGTATATGATTCGATTTTGTTTCATGATAAGTCACGGGACTTTAACCCTTGATTTTTGTTGATTTCTTTAGCACCTTATTATCAGCTGTTGCTGTTTTTAGCCATAGTGTGTATGTTTGCGTGTTCAACCGAAGTCAGTATTGCTTGTTTGATGTTGCCGTCTCTGATTAATCAACTACATTTCAACCAGAGTCTTTTTTCTCTATATTTTGTGTTCCCTTTTGGAAGTTAAATCTTCAAGCTTTGAAGTTTTAGCCGTATTGATGTTAGTAGCGTGATACTAAAGTTGATTTTCTTGCTCACACTTAATGCTAGTTAGGTTTAGGAGTGTGATAGTTGGAAGTTGAACTAGGTTGAACCACTAAAGGATCATTTACAGCCTTAGGTTACATAATTCCATTACCATCTTAACATTATTAAAACTGATAATTTTATTTTATGTCTTTATGTTCACAGTGGAACATAGCGAGAGTTTCAAGCTAGAGACCTGAGGTTTCGCTAGCAGTGGTGTTTTTTTTTTTTACGGGATGAGGTTGCTAGCCTCATGCTCAGCCCAACCTTCCAACTTTACTATTCTTATTCCTGGCTTAGCGAGGTAGATGAATGCGTCGGACGGGGATGGAACGCCGAACCACATGAGACGTGATCGGTGAGCATTCTACCGCTGTGCCACCGATGCACGAAGTTAATTGGTAGACGGTGACTAGCAGTGGAATCCAGAATGCGCATTTTGTGCTATTTAAAACTCGTCAGATAACACCATAGGTCACATAACATCTGATAGTGCAACACCGTGTCATTCCACACCCAAGGCAGACACACCAATAATCACCGCCATTCCAGGCTTAGCGACAAGGATTGACAAGTTGGAAACTAATGGGTCTGATCGACGAGTCCAGAGACGGAATTCACAGGCAAGGTCACCATTACGACGACAGTCTGTCTCCCGGCAGCGTTCCTTCATGTCTTCTAGGGACAGTAGTATATGTTGGTATCATAGGAAGTTCGAACGTCATGCCCTAAAATGTGTCAAACCGTGCAGTTTTAGTGAAGATAATCAGGCTCAGGTAAACGTCTCAGTTAGACAGTGATGGTGACAGACGTTACTGACAAACAAACAAGTCACCTTTTCTGTATGAAGGACAAAACTTCAGACACCTTATTCCTGGTAGACACAGGAGCAGAATTTAGCGTGATCCCGCCTTCACTATCCATG